AGGGTCTTATATATGTAAGTTCAGTATGCTATGTGCTGCCATGTGACATTCTGAGAGCTTGTAAGGACTTTATAGGAAAGCCACAAAGATGAGATAACAGGAAACTGAAACCTGCGATAGGTAGATAAATATATAAAGGAATTGATACTGTTTGTTCAAGAGGAATATGAGAAATACCTAAGAACAGTTGGAAATAATTTTCCCTTTATGCAACAAATATTTATAGCCTACTATGTGCAGCCACTGTTCTTATCAAGGATCTGAGGATGAGATGAATTGAAGTTGGAATAAACTGTAGCAGATGCTCCTTTTAGGAAGGAACGATTCTTCATCAGGGTCAGATGAACTAGATTGGGTCAGGGAAGGTGCTTGGGAGATCTCCTGTAGTCTTTAGAGATGATAGTCCCTTGTATTTCAGATGGTTTCGGAAACATCTTGCCCAATGGTACCCTTTGTGTGTCTTCCCAAATGGAATCCTTAATTTCTTTTCCACTCTTGCTGGCTTTGTCACCAAAAAAGTGGGAGATAAGACTTTTGCTAATTGCTCCATTTTTCTCCCAATTAAAATATGCTAGAGCTTAGAGTGATGGGGATAGCAGTATGCCAGGATAAGTAAGATAGATGGGATTTCAGGGGCGCCTGGGTGGCTCAGTTGGTTAAGTGTCTGCCTTCGGCTCAGGTCATGATCCCAGGGTCCTGGGATCGAGCCCCACATCAGGCTCCCTGCTCACTGGGGAGTCTGCTTCTCCCTCTCTCTCCCCGCTCTGTGCTCTCTCTCTCTCAAATAAATAAATAAAATCTTATAAAAAAAGAATAGGATTTCACCCTTCCCTGACTTATACTTTCTCAATGCAGTGTCATTAAAAACCACCAGTCCCGGGCGCCTGGGTGGCTCAGTCAGTTGAGCGACTGCCTTCGGCTCAGGTCATGATCCCAGGGTCCTGGGATCGAGTCCCACATCGGGCTCCCTGCTCTGCGGGGAGCCTGCTTCTCCCTCTCCCACTCCCCCTGCTTGTGTTCCCTCTCTCGCTGGGTCTCTCTCTGTCAAATAAATAAATAAAATCTTAAAAAAAAAAAAAACCCACCAGTTCCCAGAATAATTGTTTCCAAACACAAGCACCAAAATACACTACAAAGCTAACTGTGGTCTTTAGGTTCCATGATGCCCCAGTGATGAATCAGCCTTCTGCTTACAATATTCTCTAAACCCCTTAAATGGGCCCCAGGATTTCCTCTACCACCTTGCCCTTAATTCAGCATGGCTTTGTGGGGTTCACAGTGTAGAAGTGATTTTGAGGTAGTTCATTGTTTTGAAATTTCTTTGCCATTTCTTTCATTTTTTTGGATAAATAAAAGTTATCCATTCTTTCAGTGGTTTTCTCTTTTACATTTTTATGAAAGTAAAAACAGAGTACAATAACTCTTTTTTTCAAGTTTTTATTGAAATTCCAGTTAGCTAACATACAGTGTAATATTAGTTTCAGGTGTACAATGTAGTGATTCAACAATTCCGTACAGTACCCGGTGTTCATTGCAACAAGTGCACTCCTTAATCCCCATCACCTATTTTCCCCATCCCCCTACCCACCTCCCCTCTGGTAACCATCAGTTTGTTCTCTATAGTTAAGAGTCTGTTTCTTGGTTTGTCTCTCTCTCTTTTCTTTTCCCTTTTGCTCTTTTGTTTTGTTTCTGAAATTCCACTTACGAGTGAAATAGTATGGTATTTGTCTTTCTCACTGACTTATTTCACTTAGCATAATACTCTCTGGCTCCATCCATGTTGTTGTACTCTTTAACATTTATTTATTATTGTGAAAGCAGAACTGCACAGAGTGTTTATATGACTCATGATATGCTGTTGGAACCAGCTGTTGATTCATAGACCTTATAGAACCAAGGTCTCAAAATATGCTGTTTTACCCATAGTAAGATCTTACCTGTATCTTACCATATAGGAAATATACTATTTTACCTTTAATACTAAGTCTTAAGTGTCCTATATTTTTACTACAGCATCCTACTTAGACTTCATTTGATTTAAGCCTTAGTTTTGAAACTACAGACTTTATTCTAATAAGACAGCGATTTACTGTTTCATGATTAGGAATCTGTCTAGAGCCTTCTGACTCAAAGTGTGGCCCATGGACCAGCAGCATATGCATCATCTTTAGATTGTTAGAAATGCAAACTCCCTATCTTTCTCTCCCTACTTACTGAATCAGAATCTGCATCTTGACCAGAAACCCCAGTTAATTTGTGCGCATGTTAGGTTTGGGAAGCACTGGATTTAAATCTATGAATCACACTAATTCTAGCTGAGATTGCTTTGAGGTTGGTGGCAGAACAGTTGTAAATTACATTTACCTTTGATCTGGAGAAAAGATAAACCCAACAACTGTGAATGACTTGCATAGTCTGAAAATACTTAAAATGATAAAAAGTGTGCAAATTACATGAAATCTGCAAGCAATTAGAAATACTGGCAAGAAATAAGATAAAAATTATCCCAGAGAATATGAACTAAATGTGTGTGCACAAAGCATTCTGTAGTGCGTAGTATTGGGGAAATTGAACATGGAAAACATCATGATAGATGTGACATAGGCCTAATAGTAGACAGAAAGTCAGAAATTAATCAGTGATAGATCACAGTGGTCACTATTCCATTGCTGGTTTGATTTGTTAGAGATTTTCTTAAAGGCAGAACCTAGTTGTGGCCTGTGTGCTTTTCATGCAGTAAGTGCCACTGTTTGCCAGAAAAACAAAAATAAACTGGAGAGTGTTAAGAGATGGGCTAGAAGATTGATTATGACATAGGAAGAACTGATTTATGAGGAAAGAGAAAAATAATTAAATGGGCAGCACTATGCTATAAGAAGAGGCTATGGAGACATGGATATTTATCTGATGTTTCTCTTATGCTGTTTCCTGTAGTGTCCATATGAAAGATGCAGAAATATTAGGAAGTAAGGATGCTGAGAAATTTGTTACAGGACAAAGCAATATCAGCTGGAACTACTCAATTAAATTATGAGCAATATCGAAGATTAAGTTTCAGAAAATTTTACCTGCTGCATGAGAAATGACCTTGAATGGGATGACTTTATCCCTGGGAGCTTTCGAAAGCTCTGTGGGCAAAGAATGGAAGATCATTTGTTAAATTGTTGAATTATCTCCCCAGGGAAATAATTGGAACCCCACCCCTTGAAATTTCTAAAATTAGGGTGGATAAAAACCAGGATGTTGCCTATGGGAACTCTACTTCTGGCAGAAACCTGGTGATTGATGAGTGACGTTTTTCTTCTCCAATATATTTGATTATTGCTCATGGTGACCATACACAGAAACATTTTTTCATCAGGTGGGTATCCTATTTAATTTTTTTTTTAAATGCTAGTTTCTAGAAAAAGCGTTGGAGAGTGTCACTCATCTGCTGTCCATGGTGTCTGCCTCCTTGGCAATGGTAGGCTTACTTGGCTTTTTTTTTTTTCATTTCTCTTCACTACGTAATTCATTAAGAGATGCAATTTAGTATATATTGGAAGTGAATTCATTTCCTACATTCTCTTCATTCAGAAAGCTAAAAAGAAAAGCCCCAAATATGCCTTGCCTTTTGGAGCCATTTGTCAAATGAATACAGAAACTCTGTATGAAACTCAAATGAAATCATCTAGTGCTTCAGATCCTTTTTATCCAGATGAAAACCCAGCTCATGTTTGCCTAAGAGTAACGGTCCAAGAGCACTACATTGCCTTCTCCCTCCCTCTGTAGACTTTTCCCCTAATGATCTATATTAGCTGAAAAGGGGAGCTCAGAACCCCAATTCCGTTGGTCACAAATAAAACACAACACAATTATTTAGTATTCTAATTATTACTTTACCTTTTCATGCTAGTTCCTTCACATCCACATTTATATTGTCTAGGAGATCTAGCTTAATATAGGTGCTGCTAAGGATAATTTATATTGAATATGTTGACTGGAGATATTAGATATACTTCATGTTGGTATGTAGGAAGGTTTGCACCAAACTTAAATATTAAGTCACATTAATTAAACTCTATCACGTGTGCCGTAACATGAATTGTTTTTTTGTTGATGGTATTTTCTAAAGCACTGTACAGTTTTACTATTCATGACTTTGTGCTCCTGCTTTAGTTTTTAGAAATTCTATTTGTCTTTAGCCCAGAGTTCTTTCTGCTTTCCTTCTTGAGAGAGGTCTAAACCTAAACAAAAAGGTTAAGATTACAACCTGCTATTGTGTCCCTAATACAAAGATCATCTCCTCTGTATCCTGTTTCTGTGAAAATGGCTCTAACAAATTGCCAGCATCTTACATGTGCAAACAACAACTGTCTCCAAGATGAAAACTAATTGGGAAATAAAAATAAAATTGATGGGTTACAATCTTTCTTTTTCTTCTCTTGCTTCCTGACTGATAGGCCTACCAGAGGGGCAGGGAAAAAAGTCCTTTTTCTTTCTAAATTGTTCTATTAGTGTCATATTGATTCTCTCTCAAGTACACCCCGTGGTCTCAGATGATCACATATTTTCTTACGTTCCTTGTATTGATACAGCATCTTGGCTCATGGGTTGACATGCATTGCTTGTACTGGGGTGACACTGCTCATCGTTGATATTCCTGGGGTGTACCAAGCCTCCTCAGCATGAAACAAGGGGACAGGTTGTTTCACAACAGTACTCTCATTCTTTGAAAAGTGATTATTGTTCACTCCAAGTGCTACCTTAAGTCTCTGTCAGCGTTGCTTAACATTGCTCATGACCTCTACAACAATACTTGAGTTCGTTTGTGTCTCTGCGGATGCGGGAAAAAAAGATTCCTCAGCTGCGTGTCAAGATACTCTACTGGTACACTATTTGTGAGAAAAAAAGATGTATTATAAGGTGTCTGAAAGAATACAAGGTGACCTGCCTGCACACCGTTGCTTTGGCTCTCTTTCTTACCTTTGTATTCTCCCCTCCCCCTCCCTCTGTTTCAGCTAGCCGTGAGGTGGTTGGAACACAACTGCCATTACCAGTACATGGATGAGCTCCTGCAGTATATCCGCTTTGGCCTGATGGACGTGGACACTCTGCATACAGTTGCCCTGTCCCACCCCCTCGTCCAGGCAAGTGAAACTGCAACAGCTCTTGTCAATGAGGCCCTGGAATACCACCAGAGCATCTATGCGCAGCCCGTTTGGCAAACTCGCAGGACCAAACCGCGGTTCCAGTCAGACACTCTGTATATCATTGGCGGGAAAAAGCGTGAGGTCTGTAAAGTCAAGGAACTTCGGTACTTCAACCCCGTTGACCAGGAGAATGCTCTCATAGCTGCCATTGCCAACTGGAGTGAGCTGGCTCCCATGCCCGTGGGAAGGAGCCACCACTGTGTGGCAGTCATGGGGGACTTTCTGTTTGTAGCAGGCGGAGAAGTTGAGCATGCTAGTGGCCGGACGTGTGCCGTGAGGACTGCCTGCCGCTATGACCCCCGTAGTAATTCCTGGGCCGAGATAGCACCCATGAAAAACTGCCGGGAGCATTTTGTGCTGGGTGCCATGGATGAATACCTCTATGCGGTTGGGGGTAGAAATGAACTGCGCCAGGTTCTGCCTACAGTTGAGCGATATTGCCCCAAGAAGAACAAATGGACTTTTGTGCAGTCCTTTGACCGATCCCTTTCATGTCATGCTGGATATGTGGCTGATGGTCTTCTTTGGATATCAGGTAGAACATGCCTCATAATGTTGGATTTATCAAAAAAACACTTTTGCTGTGGCGTAAATTTAAAAGTCGAGCTTTGGTAGTCATGGCCATGTATAATTGAACCACTAAACCAAGGATGCCATGTTAGCTAATTAACATTCATTTATTGGGCACCAGCTCTATAGAGAGCAATGTTAATTGGAAGTAATTGACCTTTCTGTGACTTTCTGAGTGATTAAAGTATAAGGTGGAAATTAATGGCCCATCACATCCTTTTTCTATACCAAACCTTCTATTGTTTAGATTGTCCGTTTTTGATACTCATGGATTGTTTTACACACCTTGTGGTTTATCCAGGTTCTTCACTTTTTTTTTTTTTTTAAATCATCCTGGGCTGCTTGACTAGGAGATGTTTCATCAAAGACAGGGCAGGCAAAGTAAAAACCCAAGAAATCCATTTTGATGGGTATAACAATGGGTATATATACCAGGTAGGAGCCATGCTGTTCATGGAAGGAAGGGATTTAAGTTATTGACTAAAATAATGTTCTTGTATTATCTGTGGATTGTAGTTACACCTGACAACCTAAATTCCTTATTCTTGCTTACTCTCCCATTATTACTGATTATTTGGGGGTACTTATTATTTTAGTTTACATTTTCTTCATTTTTTTTAAAGCCTTTTGATTATGAAAAAAGAGGCTAGTATAATGAACTCTGTGTACCCATGACCCAATTTCAGCAGTATTCCACTCATTGCCAGTCTTATTTCATCCATACCACACACTGCTGTACACCCCTCATGGCTACCTTTTCACTGGTACAGAAGAAGTCTCTGAGGCAGAAATTATCAACATCACATTATCAACCTATATTTTCCAATCCAATTCTTGAAAAGACCTAACCTGTCCTTTGAAAGGGTTGCCTATTGGGGAAGAAAGTTCCATCTTCTCTCAGGTGGCGGATACTCATTTTGTAACCCAGATGGCACTTGTTGAATTTCCATGTCAAGAACAAAGAAAAATAGGAAAATCAGATAATTTAAATACTAAGAGTAACTTTGAGATGTTTGTACTTAGAAGACACAATCACTTTTTTTTTTTTAAGTCTCTATGTCTTAATCCCTTTCATGTATTTCACCCATCCCCCTACCTACCTCCCCACTGGCAAGCACCAGTGTAGTGTGTTCTCTGTATTTATGATTCTCTTTCTGGTGTTTTTTGTTTGCTTGTTCATTTGTTTTGTTTTTTTAGGCTCCACCCATAAGTGAAATTATATAGTATTTGTCTTTTTCTGACTTATTTTACTTAACATAATACCCTCTAGGTCCATTTATGTTGTCACACATGGCGAGACCTCATTCTTTTTTTTATGGCTGAGTAATATTCTGTTATGGATATCTTCTTTATCCATTCATATATCAGTGGACACTTGGGCTGCTTCCATAATTTTGCTGTTGGAAATAATACTGCAATAAATATAGGGGTGCATAAGTCTTTTCAAATTAGTGTTTCTGTATTCTGGATAAACACCCCATAGTGGAATTACCGGATCGTATGGTAGTTGTATTTTTTTTTAAGGATTTTATTTGTTTATCTGAGAGAGAGAGAGAGAGAGCACAAGCAGGAGGAGCTGCAGAGGGAGCAGCAGACTTCCCACGGAGCAGGGAGCCCAATGCCGGGCTCGATCCCAGGACCCTGAGATCATGACCTGAGCTGAAGGTAGATGCTTAATCAACTGAGCCACCTAGGTGACCCTCCTTCATCAATGTTTTATAATTTTTAGAGTACAGGTCTTTCACTTTCTTGGTTAAATTTATTTGTAGGTAGGGCGCCTGGGTGGCTCAGATGGTTAAGTGTCTGCCTTCGGCTCAGGTCATGATCCCAGGGTCCTGGGATCGAGCCCAGCATCGGGCTCCCTGCTCAGCGGGGAGCCTGCTTCTCCCTCTGCCTCTGCCTCTCTCTCTCTCTCTCTGACTCTCATGAATAAATATATAAAACATTAAAAAAATTATTTGTAGGTATTTTATTCTTTTTGGCACAATTATAAATGGGATTGTTTTCTTAATTTCTCTTTCTGCTACTTATTAGTGTATAGAAATTCAACAAATTTTCATATATTGATTTTGTGTTCTGTAACTTCACTGTATTCATTTGTCAGTTTTAGTAGGTTTTTTTTGGTTGAGTCTTTAGGATTTTCTGTATATAGTATGATTTCATTTGCAAACAGTGAAAATTTTACTTTTTCCTTACAAATTTGGATGCCTTTCATTTTTTTTTTTCCTGGTCTGGTTGCTGCGGCCAGGACTTCCAGTACTACGTTGAATAAAAGTAGTGAGAGAGTGGACATCCATGTCTTGTTCCTAATCTTAGAGGAAAAGCTCTCTCATTTTTTATCCCTTTAAGTATGATGTTAGCTGTGGGTTTGTCATATATGGGCCTTTACTATGTTGAGGTATGTTCCACCTAATCCTACTTTGTTTAGGGTTTTTTATCATGAATATGATGTACTTTGTTAAATGGTTTTTCTGCATCTATTGAAATGATCGTATGGTTTTTATTCTTTCTCTTATTGATGTGATGTATCATGTTGATAAATTTGTGAATATTGAACCACTCTTGCATCCCAGGAATAAATCCCACTTGATCGTGGTGAATTATTTTTTTAATGTGTTGTTGGATTTGGTTTGCTAATCTTTTGTTGAGGATTTTTGTGTCTGTGTTTCATCAGAGATATTGCCCTGTGTCTTTATCTGGTTTTGGTATCAGGGTAACACTGGCCTCATAGAATGAATCTGGAGGCTTCCCTTCCTCTTCTATTTTTTGGAATAGTTTGAGAAGAATAGGTATTAACTCTTCTTTAAATGTTTGATAGAAGTCACCTGTGAAGCTGTCTGGTCTGGACTTTTGTTTTTGGGAGTTTTCAGATTACTGATTTAATTTCACTGCTAGTAATCCATCTGTTCAAATATTCTGTTTCTTCCTGATTCAGTTTTGGGAAGTTATATGATTCTAGGAATTTATCCAGTTCTTCTAGGTTGTCCAATTTGTTGGCATATAATTTTTCATAATATTCTCTTATAATGCTTTGTATTTCTGTACTGTTGGTTGTTACTTTTCCTCTTTCATTTTTGGATTTGAGTCCTCTCTCTCTTTTTTTTTCTTTTTGATGAGTCTGGCTAAAGGTTTAATCATTACAAAGAACCAGCTCCTGGTTTCATTGATCTGTTCCACTTTGGGTTTTTTTGATCTTTTTTGTTTTGTTTTAGTTCCTGTTTCATTTATTTCTGCTCTAGTCTGTGTTATTTCCTTGTTTCTACTGGCTATTTATTTATTTATTTATTTAATTTTTTAGTCATCTTTTTCTAGCTCCTTTAGGTATAAGGTTAGGTTGCTTATTTGAGATTTTCCTTGCTTCTTGAGGTAGGTCTGTGTTACTATAAATGTCCCTCTTAGAACAGCTTTATCCCAAAAGATTTGGACCATTGTGTTACAATTTTCATTTATCTCCAAGTATTTTTGGATTTCCTCTTTGATGCCTTAGGTGACCCATTCATTGTTTAGCATCATGTTATTTAACCTCCATGTATTTGTGTTCTTTCCAGGTTTTTTTCTCATGATTGATTTCTAGTTTCATAGTGTTGGGATCAGAAAAGATGTGTGGTATGACTTGTCTTTTTGAATTTGTTGATACTTTTTTTGTGGCCTAATGTGTGATCTATTGTAGAGGATGTTCCATGTGCAATAGAAAAGAATGTGTATTCTGCTGTTTCATGGTGGAATGTTCTGAATGTATCTGTTGGATCCATCTGGTCCAATGTGTCATTCAAAGCCACTGTTCCTTGTTGATTTTATGTTTGAATGATCTATCCATTGATGTAAGTGTGGGGCTTACTATTTTGTATTACTACAAAGTCCCCTACTATTTTGTATTACTATTGATTACTTCCCTTATGTTTGTTATTAGCTGCTTTCTGCATTTAGGTGCTCCCCTGTAGGGTGCATAAATATTTACGATTGTTATATCTTCTTATTGAATTATTCCCTTTATGATTATATAGTGTCCTTCTTTGTCTCTTATTACATACAGTCTTTTTTGAAAGTCTGTTTTGTTTGATTTAAGTATTGCTACCCTGGCTTTCTTTTTTACTTCCATTTGCATGATAAATGCTTTTCCATCCCTTTACTTTCCATCTGCATGTGTCTTTAAGTCTTAAATGAATCTTTTGTAGGCTGCATATTGATGGGTCTTGCTTTTTTATCCATTCTGTCACCCTGTGTCTTTTGATTAGAGTGTTTAGTGCATTTACATTCAAAGTAATAATTGATAGGCATGTACTTACTGACATTTTGTGACTTGTTTTATGGTTGTGCTTATAGTTCTTCTCTATTCCTATCTTTTCTTGCTCTCTTCTCTCATGGTTCATTGACTTTCTTTAGTGATATACTTGGATTCCTTTCTCTTTGTTTTTTTCATAACTCTCCCTGGTTTTTGATTTGTGGTTACTATTAGGTACATATATAACATCTTATGCATACAGCAGTCTATATTAAGTTGATGGTCACTTAAGTTTGAATGTATTTTTTTACCGCCCCCTCCATGTTTTAGGTATGTATATGGTGTCATACTTTACATCCTTTTATTCTGTGAATCCCTTGACTGATTTTTTAAAAAGATTTATTTATTTATTTTAGAGAGAGAGACAGAGAACACAAGCAGGAGAGGCAGACGGAGAGAGAATGTGAAGCAGACTCCATCTCAAGCCGGGAGCCTGACCCAGGGCTTGATCTCAGGACCCTAAGATCGGACCTGAGCCAAAACCAAGAGTCAGACAGTTAACCAACTGTACCACCCAGGCGCCCCATCTTGACTGATTTTTTTAAAAGATTTATTTACTTATTTGAAAGAGAGAGTGTGTGTGTGCAAGTGGGATGGGAGGGGCAGAGGGAGAGGGAGACAAACAGACTCCCTGCTGAGTGGGGACCCTGATAGGACCCTGAGATCATGACCTGAGCTGAAAT